TGTATTCAGTTGGTTGCAAATTGCAACTTCACCGCTAGATGCAAACAAAATCTAACCTGCCTTAAAAATGCAAGGACAAACTACACATGCCATTAAACACAATGCAAAGAACTCTAGAAAGGCAAACACACTGACCAAACCAATGAGTTCCTAATATTCAAGGTGATTAGTACATAACCTGAAAACATAAGTTCTGAATATTATATTCATTTCTGCAATTGATCTTGCCTAAATGTCCACAAGTGGACCTTTAAGGGGAAGTGTAAATGTGTATGTGTTGTGTGTTGTGTCCCTGTGTGGTGAGATGGAAGGTTACTGATGCCTTTAAATGAAGGGAGTAAATGTATTGTATGATTACGTGTGAACGCCCAGAAAGCTAAAACATTGAAAAATGTTTGAAGGCTACTTTTAGTTTTACAGGATCAGATGATGTTAGGTAGTGTGTGGTGTGTGTACTCACACCAGAACACTGTTGACTGTAGCAGTTCAGAGCAAGCTTACCTGTAGACCACATGTCTCATCTGCTCTCTTAATCCAGGCTCTTCACTGGCTCGCTGAATGCAGTTGGCAAATTGGCGTGTGTGAGAGGTGTTAAGGTGTGGAATGCAGGAGTGGTGTTTAGGCGCATGCGTTCAGCCATGACCATTGTACAACAGGATGGGAACAGCTCAAAAGGATCGAACCAGCGCTCCTTTCAATATCCTCAGGAATGAGGAAAATGTTTAATTGTCACACATCGGAGTGTGTGTGATACAGGACCACCCACCCACACACCACACACAAAAACACACCACAGATCATAAATCAACATCCCATTGAAAGAGTGAAGTCCGAGTCTGGCTTCTTCTACCCTTAACCTAATTTCTCATTGTCAAGGCTTGTGTTGACACACTTCCTCATCTTATCAACAGATTGCCATGTTTAGATGAATCGGAGTGGTTTCGGAAGAGGACCGTTCCATGTGAGGACTGTTTACTTTCACACACAAACTTCCATAACATTTACACAAACACACAGAGGACAGTGGCTTGGGTTCAAAGTGACAGATGTCCTTTAAGTGGCAGAACAATGTCACAGTTTTAGGATCTACAAAAACAAATAATCGGAAGGTCATATCAAAGACATCTGACCAATCTGGGACAGTTTAGAGGCTCGCTGGACTGAAGGACTGATAAACTTTACTGTTTGGCTGTTTAATGTCCTTATTGTTTTCTTATTGGAATCTTTTACATGTCCAGACCTGACAGTAGTCAAAATAAAGGCTATGATACTGCAGCGATGCCCTTGACAAGAATACTTAAAAAGCTTTAATTGTAAAACTGAAAACAATTGAACAAATACCATTAATTACATCTTCCTACCAGTTCATAACCCTCTTTCCTGTAAACTCAGACACATATGTCGTGCCATAATCACCTTTATTGGGTTGGCTGAACTAGGCTGTGTATGGCAAGAATCTGGGAACAAACTATCACATATAGAGGTTACGATTCAGTATATTGGGCCAATATATTAGTGATAAGTGTAATATCAGAGGGCGATAGATTGCAATTTCTTTTTAATTTAATCTAATTTTAGGAAAATTGTCCATTTCGTACAAAGAACTAGGTTAAACAGCTTCAAATATAAAAATCTATCGTGTTTTGAGAATCGATCAAATTGTGTGTGTGTGTGTGTTGGGAGTGTGTGGCGTATTTGTCTTTTTGTTGACCCTCAGAGGAGCATATGGCAGCCAACACAAAGCCTTAACCCAACTCCTATCAATACTATTACTGCCTCACTCCTCCCCTCAAAGGTGAACAACAGGACACTCGGGCATGCATGCATGAGCACACACACACACACCCCTCCCCTTTATTTACAGCCCTCTCTTCTTGCTGCCCATCCTTTCATTTTCAGATCAGGTCCTTTCACCCAGAGCAGGCGGCAGCTGGAGGACTGACTCTCAGAGGGAGGCACCACGACAGGGACAGACTGAAGGGACTAGTGCTGAGCTACACATTAACTACTGGTTACCCCACACAAACACACACACACACAAACATATATGAAGACCCAGATAAAGTGAGCATTTACCCTCACCAAAAACACCTATTATGTGATTTATTTAAGCCTATGCTCTTTTTGGACGCGATGGAGAAACAAGAGCTTTAATTCCAAAGAAACACCAGTCGGGGCAGAGGGAGGGTCCCACATACTGCAACTTGAATTATCTTTATGAAAACCCTGAGGTGACGACTGATGTGCACAACCCATTTTTTGTTATTTCCTGCCGCTGGTAATGGATGTGTGGTTGCAGATTTGACTGACAGCTGACAGTGAACTTATATAGCAGCACCAAAGGGCATACCTATTCCCTGTGGGTGGGTATTGTTTGTGCGTATAGGTTTGTAGCGTAGTGCCACATAAACTCAACCGAACTTCTACCTTTCTTTGCAGAAGAGTTTTTAAGATCTGTTTACATTTACATGAAAATAGATTCTATTAGGTAACGCCATATACAAAGATGTGATTTCTGCCAGACTGCCACACGTTGCCAATGTTTGCTGTATGATGAACAAACAGGGGTATACACTAGTTTTATTTACCAGTACATTGATGTGTTATATAAAAATAATATGAATGTGTATCTGTAACTGTACTGTCCTTGACTGTCTTATCACAGATTCTTCCTGGCAGCCTAGAAGGAAAAACATTTTCTAAGACACAGCCAGAGGACCTGAACTAAGCTCTGCCTGCCTCCACATGTCTGTGAAACGGGCCACAGGAGATAAGTGACTTTTTATATCTCCGGGACAATTTGTGTGCTTTTGAGAGAATGCATTTGCATGTCTTGGCCAAAGTACAGTACATTATCTCTAACTGTAAGTAGCATCGACTGAAACAGTGCACTCACACACCTTTTCAAAGGTAAAAACCCCGGATGAGTCACTACGAGTGCTGCATTACGACCACATTTAGATTAGTGCGGGAAACCAAAACAAAGACTAAATAATATCTGAGGTTTCCCACTGTGGGCTCAGGTGACTCATCTGCTAGCCAGTCCATTAGTGTGCGGTATGCAAAGGTGAAAAGGTTTGGTCGCCAACTCTAGACACTCTAATCTTCAGTAGTATTGGTGAGTCACTTTGAATTATTCTACTATTATTGAAATAGATAATAGATAGAGTAAACACAGGGTATGACTGAGCCCAATCATACCAAGAATCAAGGTTCCACGTGCTATTGTACATATTGGCTAATATGTAGGGTCTGCTACACTACATGAAAAAGAAACTCAGTTAGTGTCATTGGTAAAACCTGTGTTTACCCTACTATTTCATGTCAAAATGGCTGCTGTGAAAAAGGTCCGTCAAGGGGAGATGGGCACACGTTTCCATTCCTGGACCGATGAATGATGTGTGGTGGAATGCAGCCATCATAATACCCTGTGAAATTTTTGCCGCCAAAAACAAACAAAAATAATCTTTTTTTTTTTTTTTTTACATTTTTACTTAAAAGAATAGCTTGATATTTTAGAAAATAAGATCATATCTGTAGTAGTATAAAGCTATAAGTCTCTGCTGGTCTCTGCACGTGGTTTTACACTTCAGTTTTTGTACTGATTAAACAAACAAGATATAATGTGTCAATGAGTGAGCATTAGAAGTGATCTGGATTTTGTTTCAGAGCCAGGCTATCAGTTAACCTTTTTCCAGTCTTTATGCTAAGCTAAGCTAACCAGCTTCATCGTTTATTTAATCAACACATATGAGAGTGCTATTGATCTTCCCAGCAAGTACGGGAAGTTGCCAAGATGTCGAGCAATTCCTGTTTAACAGTTAAAATTTATTTCCACTACTTTAAAGTCAAAACTGCTCCACCAAATGAAAATCAGCTCAAAGATTTAAGGGGAGTACAGTGAATATTTAAGCTTGCCCTTCTTCAGCATATGTGCAACTGCAGAGAATGGATTTGAAAGAGCTATATCTGAGTGTGCACATCCTTTTTGCGCTTACTGCTGTTTGACTATATGCATTGCAGCTATATTTGTTTTTGGTTAAATTTTGTGTTTGTATATAAAAAGTGATAAGATAATGAAAAATGCTGCTCTGAAATTCCCAGAGCCAAACGGGACGTATGTCTGAGTAACAATCCAAATCCCAAAGATATTAAACTGACAGTACATTCACATAAAAGCAGCAACTCCTCACAACTGAGAAGCCGAAACTGGCAAAAGGTAGGAATGTTTTCTTGAGAAGTGATTTCCACAACTGTGGCACTAGTTGTGATATACTGAAGTGTGTTATTTTATAGTTAAGTGCAGCAGTGGAGTGTAATCCATGTGTAACTAGTGTGGTGTGGTCTAGTCATGCCTAGGTGGGTGTAATCAAGACACCTTCTTTGTTTTGGCTGTCAGGTGTGTGACAAGTGGTGGTCAGGGTGGGGAAAGGTATTTCCGCTGGGTGTTGCTCAAATCACTTTTGAGTTCCAAGTGAACGTATGTGTGCCTGCTGATGAGAAGTGGGCAACTGCAGTCAGAGTATCAGGAGTCTCTTTTTATTGTTGTTGCTATACAGGCGGTGAGTCAGGGACACTCATTCTGGTAAAGGTGCCAACTGAAACCCACCATAACTCACTCTGGATTGTTGTGGTTTGTTTTTGTCTCTGGATGACAGATGCCACAAAATGCCCCAAGTCTCTGCAAATGATATCATTTACCTCAAAAACTCTCTGTGGTGACACTTGATCCACTTTTGTAATAGAGATCAAACAACCAAAAATTGGCCCCACTCTGTTGCCTACTCAACTGTAAGCGGTGAAAAGCGCCTTACTGGTACAGTCACACACACACACACACACACACACGGCCAGACTGTGCACACAAAAGGGTGGAGTCGGTGCAGTGGGTTTTTTTCTCAACCAAGGGGATCCTACCTAGACTTGATGCGCCGGAAAGGAATCCAAGGTGAGGTTTCCAGGGAATTACGCAAACCACACAGGAACGTGCTTCTAGCCTGATTTGAAATTGGACCCGACTGATTTTAACTTGGTAACATTTAGAAGAGGTAGCCAGTTTATGTGCAGTCATGGAGCGCACCGCCGTGTCCCTGCAGCGCCTCCAGCCTTCGCCGCGAGCAGCGCGTAAAAGCGAGTGGCTCCGGAGCGTCCTGGCCCATCACCACTGTCCCGATCCCGGCGTGGAAAACGAGATCGTCGTCTTGGCCACTGGAATAGACCAATACCTGCAGGAGGTCTTCCACCACCTGGCCTACCCCAACCGGGACGATACGGTGTCGTCGGAGGACTTCACCGCGCTGTGCGCCGTGCTGGGACTCACTGGGGCAGAGAAAGGAAAGAGGGCGATGAAAGGAAAGGAAGGAACTGGAGATGGATTTAAAGAAGAGGAGGATGAAGAGTTTAGGGATGTGTGCTCTGGTCTGCCCTGTCAGCTGTCCTTTAAAGACTTCCACTCGCGGCTCTGTGGGTATTTCCGTGTGCGCAGTGCGCGCAGAGGCACCGGGGAGTGCGCCTGGCGCCTGCCCGTTACTGAGGACACGGAGCTGGTGGAGCGACAGATCCGGCTCCGGTGGCCGCGTGTCAGACGGAGAAAATGTGTGAGTTTCGATCTGACGAGGGATCAGAATGGAGCCGTTAACAGATCAATGAAAGGTCGAACCGCAGAACACCGCGACTCAGGTACTGTACCAGCTGTGTTAATGCATTAAAATCCCCCCTGTGATCTTACTGCATTTCTGCTGCACATGCATAAGCTTATTACAGTTATAGGATTTTTTTTTCAACGACTATATATAACTGCACATATATAATTGAACTGCCTAATCTGGGCTGCTATTTATGAATCCACAGAGCAGTAATCAGTACAGTAGGAAAGTAGGCGATTAAGCACTAATTCATTTAAACTTACTTAATTTTGGTTTTGGTTTTTCTTCACCAACATATGACCATCCCCACTTTAATGTGATTTCACTCTCCACTCAGATCCTTTACTTAGACAGAAAATACCAATTCAATATTCCATTGCAAGTAAAAGTCCTGCATTCAAAATCCTACCTAAGTAAAAGCACAGAAGTCTTCACAAAATGTATTTAGAGCATAAAAAGCACTCACTCTGTAAAAAGCCCCCCTGCGACTGATATATTATTATTATTATACAGTATACACAGTTACATAATACTGATGCATCAGTGTGTAATCAGTATTTTACTGCTGTATAGCTGGTGGAGGTGCAGCTAGTTTGAACTGCTTTACATACTAGCTAGTTTAGTGCAGTGGTTTCTAACCTAGGGGTCGGCCCCTCCAAAGAGTCACAAGATAAATCTGAAGGCTTGAACAGGTATTTAAATAAAACCATCTGAGAGTCTTTAAGTCTTTAACAGTGATAACCTTTACGTAACATTTTTTTGTGTTTTTTTGTGAGTTTTGTGCCAACCTATACAATTTAGGATGACATCATGGCTAAAATCAACCCAATAATGTACCCATCATCAAAATGCAAATACTAGTGTTGTTGTTGTGGTGGTGGTGTTTTAATGTCTTAAAAATATTGGCATTGTTGCTAATGTTTCTGTTGCATAGTGAATATGCATTATCTTGTAATTGTGTTAATTTCTTAACATAGACGTTTCCTGCCCAGGGACTACAGATGTAAAATGGCTCATAGCTAACTCTGGTGCAGCTAAGTAGCTGTACACTGTCCCTGTCAAATAAACAAACAAATACAACAGAATAATTTGTAAAACAACTAACTATCATTTTGATTATGAATTCATTGTAAGTTGTTTTTATTGTATGTCAGCTGTTTTGACAGGGAATGTAATAATTTGCTTTATTGGAAGAAAACTGAGTAAATGCAACTTACGTAACATTTGTATAAAGAAAATGTAATAAAGTTAGTATTACTTTATTATAGCTAGATATAGCTAGATATAGATTAATATAATAGATAAATGCTGTGGACACATTTTAAATAAGTTTGGAGAAATGCTGCATATGACTGTAATTTACTTATTAGTTTTAAGTTCAATTTACTGAATGGAGTTGGTAAATTACCTTAATTTACCAAAGTTATTTAACAAATACTTGAGTTACTGTATTTTTTCATGCTTAAGCTGTTTGACTAAACAAACTTGAATGGTTTAATGCCATTTTTTTTCAAACAGTCTGAGTTGAACTAACTCATCGGGATTTACAGTGTACTTGAGTAAATATACTCATAGTTAGCAAAAGTAATAGTTACTTTCCACCAGTGCCCGTTTCTCCAATAGTAATATTCCAATGGTGGATAATTTACTTTACATATTGAAAAAGAAACAATATAGTGTAAACTGGATTTTACTGTTGTAGTTGGTGTAGTGTAAATGTGGTATAGTAGATGAATAAAAGTAAGTATTAAATGGAAATACTCAAGTAAAGTACAGTAGATTCACTGAACAGGGACTATAAACAGTGTGGAATGTGAAATGAATCTGGCAAACCCAGTGAAGACTTAAGTACTAAAGCAGGAACATCAACTTCAGAGGACAATTCATTTACATTTGAACTGAAATACTGCTGGAACTGGGTATTCCTGTAACTGGATCAGTATTTAACTGAGAAAACAATGACCCATGAATCCTTGAAATGAGCAGTGATTTGGTTTCACTTTCACCAAGTTTCACCTCTCTTCTTCTTCTTCTTCTTCTTCTTCTTCTTCTTCTTCTCCAGATGAGGTAGCAGCTTTGAGGGAACTGGTGGAGGACCTCCGCTCGGCGCTGCAGGGGAGCGACGCTCGCTGTCTGGCCCTGGAGGTGGCCCTGCGACGGGATAGGAGCCGCGCCCTGCCCTCACCTTCTGGTTTCACCTCCACAGTTTCAACTCCTTCAACTCCGACCACGACTTCCATCACTCTCATTCAGGGAAAACTGGTACCAACACTCAGAATTAAAGGGCAGTGCAGTAGCGCTGGAGGAGAAGGGGCGAGGAGGGTGGCGAGGAGACGGGACATCAAGGACCCCCTTCTGAGGGAGCTGAAGCTGATCCGCTCCGCGCGTGATGGGCAGCTGGAGGAGGCCATCAAATTCAATGAGCGTCTGGAGCAGGAGCTGCGATGGGCGTACCAGGAGGTGCGCAAGCTTCAGGGGGTGGAGTCTGCACTGAGGAAGGAGAACGCTCACATCAGGTTGGAGTTTTTTTAAACATAAGTGGATGTTGTTTGAGTGCAAGCGTGGATAGATAATAGAAGGATGGTTTGATGATCTTGGATGATCCCCATCAGGAGGCGGGCGGAGGAGGCCAGGGAGGCTCTGAGTTTGGGGCTTGAGAGGGTTCGGATGATCCAGGAGCAGGCCCAGTGTGTGCCACAGCTCCAGTCCAAGATCACCCAGCTGGAGACCGAACTACACCAGTACAGGTACATACAAAGACTACATGGGGGCGTGGGTAGAGATATTTTGATATCTTCTGTCCTGATACAGATTTGGATAGCTGAACTTTCCTAATTGGCCATTAAGGGAGTACCAGTCCAATACATGATCCAATACATTTTAACAAGCATACAACTAAACTTGTATGAATGCTATCATTGTTGTATGGCCTGGTAGAGAGATACAAATGGCGAATAGGACACTGCTGGGAAGTAGCAGTGCAAAAGGCTGAGTCCTTGCTGCGTGTCATCTTCCCTCTCTCTAGTCAAGAAAAGTAAAAAATCCGATCTGTGCACAGCTGTGTGTACTTGCTGATACGCAATATCACATTTTAGGCATCAGAACAACTCTGGTTGGTGAGTGGAGAAAAGTGCACTGGCATGTTTGTGCATCTATTTACACATCATTTGCCTCTGTGCTCTGCTGATTTGATATTCAATGCACTAAAGCCACAGCTTAAATTACACACACTGACTGACTCATTCTGAGTCAGAGAGTTGGGTTAACCTTCAAAAACCACACTGCATTAATGTTTAACAAAAACTCTAACCATACACAGTGACCAGATTGTACACAGATTTATTTCATTCACATCCACAATGCATTTGAGAGTTCAAACCTGCTCTGATGCTTTCAAAGAATTGTATTACAAATTAATCCAATGACAATGTGTAATGTGAAAGATGTCACTCATAGTGATGCACCTGTGTAGATACCCTCATCTCTACAGCTTATTATGGACAAGCATCAGGTTGAAACTGACCGAAAACACTGAACACTACCCAGAGGTGGCAAAAGTACACACATTCTTCACTTAAGAAGAAGTTCAGATACTTGTGTAGAAAAAGACTGCAAAGAGTAAAGAGTGCGCTCTGTTTCTGACAGCTAACTAAAACTTCAACTAGGGTTGAGTCTCCCACTCTTGTTGCTCTGTGTCTGCTGGGTGCACAAACAAGCAACTGGAATAATATGTCAGTTTTGTGTTACAGCTTGTTCTGATGCCCCCAGGTGGCCAAATACATAGAAATCAGTTTTAAAAGTTGTGCACATGTAGCTCAGATTAAACATGTGGCAAAGTTTATTAGTCAAATAAAGTTTGTGTGACAGGCTGTGTGTATGTTGTCAGTAGGTGGCTTTAGTAGTTTTAGCTTTCATTAGAGGGGTCTAAGCCAGTGATTGAAATACATACCAGGTTTGATAACCCACATACAAATGCACAAACGAAGGAGTCTCTGTCCACAGTATTATCTGATTGTCAGTATATGTGAGGCATGTTCTCTTCCTTTACCAACCTCAGATCCCAATGCATCTGCATCCCTGACCCCACCCATCAACAGACCTACCCAATCGGAACAGAAGATGTCTGCAGCAAGACAGGTGAGTGACTGTAAAATAAATGAATCACTGAGCAATTAGGAATAAAGAGTGTGTTCTAGCTGATCCATAGTTCTCCCTCCAATGGCGAACAACATTTAGTTTGAGCCCATCTGGCGATATATTTAAAGCTTTGCAGCAGACCTTTGTCACGGCAGACATTTTGTCGTAGTAAGAAAAACACAGGTGACAGGCTAAGCCTTGACAGTGAGCCAGCATGCACAATAGCAGGAGCCTAGAACCTAAAGTCATTTTTAACGTCATTAATAATGTGCTGCTGGAATAATGAGTTAGCATTTTAGCACCTCTGGCTCCCTCGCCTTAAAGTCAATGGGTTTACTGAATGGGTTTTTGGTTAGATGTCTGAAATAAGGTCTGTGGTTCACAAACTTAAGGGATTTTCACGCTTTGTTCTACAGCATAAAATATGTCAGTAAATACCAAACAAGTGAATTTTCAAGTGTGTCTTTAAAAAGTGCGGAGATCTACCGACTAGTCCGCCTTCACAGCTTGTTGTGGATATACTCACAGTCTTGTAAACAGTTCTAACTCAAACTTAGATAAATACAAGATTTAATTGTGGTGGGGATGTTGAAGTCATGTAACTGCGGTGTAGTTTATTTACAGCATTAGCTTTCTACTTCTGACAATCATAAAAGTGGTGTACATTTGTTAAGATTATCTTGCTGAACAAAATGTGTAAGTATCATAAACCTTTGTTCGCCTTCCAACAATCCAAAATCTAATAGAAAAATCGAATTTCTTTTCGTCAAAGAAACCACTGTGATGCTAACGTCCAGATTAGAGTAGCACTGTTAGACCTGTGCTTTCCCTGCTATGACGAGCTAAGATGTCTGCAGTGAAAAAGGTCTATAGGGCACACAGAACATCATTTATTCACCAATGCTTTGCAACAGAACATTAGAGTCAATGCCTGTCCTGTTAGCAGATGCAGAGTGTCTGCAGAGAGCAGTGGAGGGTAGAGCTGCCTCTGATGAAGAGGAAGACGACCGGGGGATGAGGGAGGAAGGACAGTGCAGCCTGTCGGAGGGGAAGAAGCACATGAGCCGGATGCACAGCTGTGGCAAAGGGTTAGTTAACATCTAAGGCACACTCACCACCACTGCGCACACCTGTTTCCATTCCAAATGTCAGATGTCACTTCTCTCGTCTCTTCTTCCAGATGTCAGAGCCATGCAGTCCACCAGCTTCCCTCTCAGAGTCACCTGCATGATAAAAACCTCATCAGCACTTTTAAGGACAACAGGGGGCGCTGCAGCTGGAAGGGACAAAACCAAGAGCAGCCAGAGGGAAGCAGAGGTTGTGAAAAAGAAAAGGTGAAAGAGAGAGAGATGATAACGAGAAGTTAAGATGCCAAGTTGAATGGCTTCAACTGCAGACCAGGTTACAAACAGTTTTAACCCTAATGTCAGATTAGGATAGAATAATTCATTTGTTTCACTTCCTGTTTGCCAGAGGCCCGAGGAAGAGGAGGACAAGACGAGGCTGAGGGAGAAAGAAAAGACACGTCTGTCTTTGCTGGAGAAGAAACTCGCAGATGCCCTAACACTGCTGCTACAGCTACGCAACAAGGTTCACACACAATACACACACAAACACATACACACACGCATACACACACGAATACACACACACACACTCTGTTCACCTCAGGCATACACATGCACCTCTTCGGTGCCATCTAGTGTTTATTCCATTCCAGTTTTCATAGTTTTCATTGATTCTAGTGTATCACAGGGCTGATATGGCAAGAAAATATGATTTTAGTTACCTTCTTCCCCTTTTATGTAGGAAAATACCAAAAAGTTCAAAAGTCATCTTCAACGGTTGACCTTCTCTGGTGTTAGCATTGTTAGCTAGCACCTGTTAGCTGAGTGATCACAAAGAAAGACTGTTTATGAACCTTTTGCACCCTCTCTCAGCTCAATAGTTACTTTATAAATACTTTATTGCTGTTGTGCTAGCTAACAGGCTAAATTTAGTAGTAGCTGTTTACCTTAGCTTAAGAGAGGCCATGTGTGATCTTATGAATAGTGAGTAAAGTGGCATAAAATAAAAGTGTTAATGGATATGTAGGCTTATACATTTCACACAATGTATGTATGTTATGTTAACATTATGTGATTATTTATTTCTTATTGACATATTTATTTATTTAACATTGCACACTTTGGGCCTCCATACAGTTCCACTCTAATGATCTAACTAAGGTATTTGGCTGGTCAATATACTGTATGTAATGTGTTTATGTTATTGATTTTGTGAGTTCTTGTGGGATTGTTGCTATTGCTGCTTTGCTTTTGGTACACATTTTTCATGTTTATTGTTGTTCACTAAAAAAAGAAAGTAAAGCTTCTCTTTCCCTGCTTCTCTAGAACGTGTCGCGCAGGGCCCTAGGGAAGATTGTGATGGATACTCTGGACGTGTGCAGTAGGAGCGGGGACGGTAGGTCTGATCTTCCAGTTGCCCGAGTACTCATGTTTTAGTGTTGCTCATTGCTTACATTTTTCTTGGCGCTTTGCCCATCCAGGTCCGTCTCAGGTCCTGCAGGTAGCTGACGCCCTCTGTGTCCGCCTGTCCTCCAGGGATCTCCTTGGAAACGGAGGGGGCGATGAAGCAGGAGACAGCAGAGAGAAACTCCTGCTTCCATCCTCTGGGTGTCAAACCAGCAGCGTCAACCCTCTGCTCATCTCCTGTTAGATAAGCTACTGCGGTGCTACTTTTAGTTGATCCTTTAACTTTCTTTATCTTTTGCCTGTTTGCACCCATGTATGTTGTGTATCCTAATTGTTTTAACTAATTCAGTGTATTTAAAAAATAATCTTATTTACTTATTTACTACAATCCATATGTGTTCTATTTTGCATCTATTTAATTTGAATGATTACATTTTTTTTAGAACCCTTTGTTCATTGTGTAAGTTAATATATAAAGCTCTGACATCATGAAACATAACTGGATTCAGCATCATTCTATATCTTTACTTTATCATTAGTCAGTGTAATGGTCATAGGTTTGATTGTATTTATCTTAAATGATATTTATCTATATTTATCTATATGCAAATGTTAATTTTGATTTTAAGTTTTCCTGTTGGACACAAGATGTCTCCTACTACTCCTAGATGTCATTCTCAGTGGATGTGCACTGGTGACTTGTAGTTTCTACATCACACTGTACAAGTTGCATACTGGACCATGATGGACATCCACACTATTTGTGATGTCACATATCCTGCTGGAGCACAGAGCAGAGAGAAACTTTCCACTTCCAGCAGATGAATGTGAAAACATCCTTCTAGTGTCAAACTCTGCACAGTCAGCATTCAAACAGCACACTGTAGAAACAAGAAGGAAATCAGATTTTTGAGTGTAGGGGGACTTTTGAGACTCACATCAGCCTGTTAAATGTCTACTATACAAATTAAAGGGCGGTTAGCCTTACTTTTGAGCTTCATGTCTGCTTCTGACCAACAACATCTGTACTACAGCTGTCATTTTTTATTTGAATTTTTAAAATTAGTTTGAATGTCAAATTCAAAATGTAGTCTATAAAGGCAACAGGCCATTTGAAGTAGCTAACCGTGTGATCCAGCAGAGGGCACTCCACTATCAGCTTTCCTATAGACCTGTTAGTAAACTAAACTAGTAATGTTACACTGTTTACTACAAAAATGGAGGATTTAACTTTGTTCGAACATGATTATAGCAGAGGAAAGATGAGCAGACTTAAGTGCACCGGCACTGGACAAAAAGGAGCTGTATCAGGAAACCCCCCAGGAAAGTCTGAATGCAAATTCAACCAATCCCCATGGATTCTGTGCGACCTTGCAATTGCAATGTGAACTGAAATTATTTTAGAAAAGCTGCTGTGAAAACAGGCCTTTTAGGCTGCAACAATCCCAAAAGATGCCTATGAAGGACTGGGAAAGATCCAATGGTATATGTTCATATGTTTATGAACCTGTATCCAGATCTGTATATCGTACCATATTATATCAAAATAAATTCTGTCAAAGATCCAGTCTTTAAACTTCTGCATACTGTCCCTAACTGTGCGTACACAAACGTATCACCACCTTGGATAGTACTGTATTTTTGTGCATTTCTGCCAGTGTGATCCTGTCACATCACAGACACATTTAAAATATTATTTGTTATTGCCTTTTTAATTGATAGAGACAACTGTAGATAGACAGAGAGAGAGGTGATGACACGCAGCAAAGGGCCGCAGGTCGGACTCGAACCCTGGGCCGCTGGAGCAAGGACTCAGCCTCAGTACATGGGTTGCCAGCTCTACCAACTGAGCTACAGGTACATTTACAGTGAAAGCTGACACAAACAGACAATTAGACGGAGGAATGGTATGAAATAATATAGTCCTTTATTTCCAGCAATTTACAGTCCTGCAGGGAGAGAGCCTTCCGCCAGCCTCACAGAGGGAGGGCTTTAACAAGAAGAACGCACAGAGAACGCAAAGACCTCTGCCCCAGTAGGACTGTTCATGTTTTACATCAGTTTTTCAGAGGCAGCGGAGCTGACTGGGACAGGTGCTTAAAGGCTCCGTCTTAATGTGGACGCTGGCAGCCTGAGGATCAGTGCGGCTCGCTGTGAGTTCAGGGGCTCGAGGGTTTGAAGCACTGAGGTTAACAAGGCAGTAGGTGGATGAAGGGTTTAAAAGGCTGGGTATTTTATACAGGCATGAAACATCTGGAATCATAAGGAGAAGCAGCATTGTGTACTTTTTATTTGTTTGTGGGTTCAAATCTTACTTCTGTCGGTGCTTAACTTGATTCCAGACTTTTTAGATGCCCTGCACAACCCGCCTAGTGGGGGCTCTTCAGCCTCCGAGTCCTCATTTTTTGCAGATTCACGTGACCAAAAACCTCTCTCCTCTCCACTGCTGCATCATATAAAGTCATTATTACATTACACAACATAATCAACTTACTGTACATCTTTTATTAATCAAAGCAAATTAAAGAGATGCTACTCTGTGGCGAACCTAGCTCCTGATTGGTTACTCTGAGTTGAGCTTGGCTCTGATAGGTTAAGGCCATTCTATGTCTTATAAGTATGCTCTCCCTGTGTGGGACACGGGGTGTGTGCGCGTATGTGTGAGGTGTGTAAAGACTGGTATTAGGCACTGTGCTATTCATTAGCCTCACCGCCATTCTATTGCGGCATGCACCAAAAAGCTCTACTGGCCTTTTGCAAAGAGAAGAAAGAAAAAAAAAAACATAAAAGAGAGGAGAAAAATGACATCAACATGGTGACAACGAAACGGAGCCAAAATGAAATGACAAAATAAACAACCTCATATATAGAATAAATATAGTATGTACAATTTGCTTTGTGTGCTTCTAAAAATAAATAGACAAAGCATTACTTGCCCCCTTACAGAAGTATTCACAACTTTCCATTGACACAGAGGCAGAACGCTGGCACCTGCTCAGTAAGAGAGTGGAGGATGCAGACTGAAGGTGAACAGACAGAAGGATGCAACTTCCACAAACAAGTCAAAACACGGTAGATAAGAAGACAAAATAAATGTCACTGCGGGTGGACGTGTGTGTGGGTTTGAATCCAGAGGACACAGAGACGCACTGAGAAGCTGTACAGTTAAGAGGATCCCTGCGGTGCCCTCTGGTGTCCGTTTTGCAGATTACAGTACTTTGTGCATTTGACCAGCGGGGAGAAGTTGCTTCTTCATCATTACAGTGGTTGTTTGTTTGACGAGATTCGTGACACAAAACAATAATCGCGAGGAGTTAAAAAGATTAGGGAGAGGAGGAAAGGAATAGAAAAGAGAAATCACAATTTTAACATAAGCGACACATTTAAAAAAAAAAAATCAGTCAGACCAACAAAAAAAGAAAATCATTAACAGTTAAAATAATCAAGTTTTTTGCACATTCACACTATGTGCCCTGCACATGCATTCTGCTGGCCCCTTCGAAACAGCACAGAAGTCTGACAAGCGCCAGATAAGTCAAGCATCACATGCAAGTTTCTCCTAAATTCACTGCCTCTGGGCCGACGTCTGTACTCGGTACAGTCTGTCAAAATGGCTCACCACTTCCTTTTTACCTGCTCCTCACCTGTAAGCCCTCAAAAAGAGAGTCAACTCAGGTCAGCTGAGTCTCTAAGTCTGGTGGCGGGTGGCTGGTGTGTGTATGTGTGTGTGTGTGTGTGTACGCACTAAGGTTAAACCGACATGTGGCTAAGATTTTGCCCTTTGATTAAACATCGTCCAGTCATTTACTTATCAAAAGGTCAGGTTCTCCCCCGACCAGAGAGATTATTATTAGTCATCCTATCATTTTTATGTGTGACAAGAGAAAAAAATTTAATTTTCTGGAAAAAATTCTAAAATTTTACTACAACCCACTCTACAGAGTTTGAAAAAACCTAACTAAACGCTAACTGTTAAAACTCATTGGTCTTTCATTGATTCAACGCTCCAACGTGGTCAAAATTGCATTCTGGGAATCAAAAGGGTCAAATGAAAGATCTAAAGATATCAAATACCCACACAAAACATCAGCAATCAGTACCTTTCATCTGGTGTCGGACTGTGGTAGCTGAAACCGAGCGAGCACATCCTGGCTAAAGCAACCTAGCGCACTTTCACACTGTGTACTCTGCTAGTTGTTTCCAGTGCGTTGCAGCATGTTGAGCCTCTTGTCACTTACTGTAAGCCTGGCTTGGGCAACACAACAACAATAACAACAACTAGCCTGCTCCAGTAGAGAGTTGGCAGATGGTTTCAGACAGGGGGGACTGGTGCTATTCTCACCTGGAACAGCTTGCGGCAAAATAAGACCTCTCTAACCTCTTGGCATCCATGGAAAAACCCTATCGTGAGCTGCAACGAACAGTGAGGTGTGTGACACATTCCTAACTGACAGTTATGACATTTTCCACTTACTATTTTCCACTGTTTCTGTGTGTTTGCTTAAAGACTCTTGCATAATAATGATTTCTAGAGGATTTGGCCAAAAAAAGCAAGTAAAGGAGGAATAAAATATAGACTATTGTGTGAAAGAGCACACCTCGTTTTAAATTGGCATTCATTAGGCGATTCTTGACTCCAATCAGAGGCAAATCTGATATCCCTTATTCTCAAGCCCAGAATTGAGGGGAAGTGAGCGCAGGTATTACACTCCTGGTCCTTGTTCTGACTCAAATTAAGCCATCCACTGATGGGAGTGATGCCAAAAGGGATTTAGCTTGTTACGTTTGTGGTCCAGTCCCCTGTGGTAAAACTCCCCCGAACCCTGTTCCCTACTGTCACAAGGCCAAAGTAAAACAGAGAGAACTGCTAGCCCTATGCACTCTACTAAATCAGAAATGAGACACATTAGATTTCATATGATATTCATTCTGGATATATGACATAGCACTTGGTGATTAAGCATTCTAGGCTTGTTTGGATCGATTTTTTGCTGTCTTTTGTCGTCTTGGTCTCAAGTGTTCAAACTTGATACTTAGAAAAATGGGAGGGCTCAACGTCCCCATCGAAAATAATGAGGACTGACCCCGAAGAGATATCAATTCATATCAAAAGCATTATCTACCAACAATCACTGTCAATAGTTTCATAATAGCAAAAGTTATTAAGTAAAATAAAGGATCGGTGTAGTCTGTGGGTCAGGATCCATCAGGTGGTTGAGGTGGAGATATGCGTGTTTCTTAGGTGAAACACAGATACTGTCCAGTATTCTGGGCTGCTGCTGTGGTGCATCAGTGTCCTGATATCCTGATGATGAAACGTTACCGCCCTGCGAGTGCACTGCACCATCAGTCAGAGCCCTACAGGAGATTAGCCCTTTTATTGTAGACGATGTCCACTTCCAGATAGTGTTCAGGCATACCGGTGATACTCGACACTGTCCATGCGTGCAAGCTTGCCTTGTGTGAATTTATTTTTTTGTGTGTGTGTGTGTGGGTGTGTATGTCTGTTGTGTTAATTCAGTTGCCCGCGTTACTGTCTCTGTCCCCGATGAACCAGCGCATGTGGAAGCAGAGGGCGAGGAAGCCGGTCCCCAGCAAGTCACCCAGAGCAGTCAGATAGGGGATGGAGAAGTTGTCGGGGTCCATGCCTCGGCCCCACATCCAGTGGACCATCCAGTCTGCCAGGTAGAGAAGGATTATCACCTGGAGGAAGACGAAGCAGAATCACACTTTTTATTTACAGGAACAACAGAGGCTTTGTTTTGTTCTGAACAACTAAAGGAAGGCTGTGTTTGATTGACTGTGCAGACCGGCTTGTATTGACAACAAATCAATCCTGGATCCTGGACAATTCTTACTGGGGCTGCCATTCAGAGCAGGAGTATTAGACTTGTAAAGATCTAAGCTGCTAAATAAATGTATTTTCTTTGCAAGGAAATGCATACTTTAACTTTAACTGGATCCAGGAAAGAACGCTGTCTGTAATTAAGCGTAAACCTATCGTGACATCATCCATTGGTTTTTGTAGTAGCATTTAAAAGCCTTAAGTTTGGCATTATGGTCGTCAACATGACCCAGTGGAGGTGACATCATGTGAGTTGAGCTGCTCTCATTGGCTGCGCAGTTTCGACTCGGAAACAATGGCGAAGCAGGAAACAATGGCAGCTCGCCGGGTTACACGATTTCGTATTTCAAATAAACAGTACACTAAAATATGTGTCTAAAACAATTTTAGGTGGGAAACAGGGAAAACACAGTAACAGAATCTAAATCCATATTTGATCTAGCGTGTTTGGTGCGTTGAGCTTTAAAAAATGTAGGACATCAAATTTTATGAAATTATAATAAACTGTTTGTTCAACAGAGAAAACCCTTCTGTTTTCATTCATCATCACTGTAACTGATGATAATAATTATAATAGCGTAATACGGTTATATGGTAATATTTTCTGTGACGGTTGAGCAAACCTATTGAGGAGACAGTCATAATGATCCTAATATTTGGTAACAGCTATCAGATTTAATGTTTTCACTGGCAGTGCAGCGGAAATTCCTAATCAGGTCACAATCTGATGGAGCACAGAATATGGTGCTTAATTAGAAGATCCTGATCCTGTAATTAGAGAAATGTTCCTCACAATTATGGAGATGTAATATAATGTTAGGTCTGTAATTATCTTAGATAGTAAGTCATAATTATGAGATAAGGTAGTGCAGTTGCAAAGTTTTGCTCAGTATTCTGGAGAAGCCACTGCAAATTCATTGCAACATCAAAAATCACACAAGATAATAAATAGGTCATCCTGGGTGTAATAAAAATAGCAGGCTAGTTGCAACTATATACTTGGAAAATGTTAATTATTATGAAAAGGTATTCATTATTGTTGGATAACTATTTCTCTTTCACTAAGAGACACAGCTAGGTTATCCTTAAGACCTGCAATAATTGGGCGTAGCTAGGTTTACTTCACTGTTCAGCACACATCCAAAAGGGTATGCAGAAACAGAAAACGTATTCGTGAACCTGTTTGACTACAGCTGGAGTTGTGCTTCTTCAATCTGCACATAAGCTAACGTACAGGGGTGTCACTTAGACACATTTGCAGGTTTGTTTTATACTTATACTTCTATAATGTAAGTGTCCATGAGGAAGCAGCGTCTTTAAGAGAAATTTAGTTATATGCTCTGCTAGACAGGAGATCACTTGTGGCAGTTCCAAAGTAGATCAACCAATCAGATACATTTACATTTAATACATTTAATCTACGTGTTATGGAACTCTCAGTGAACAACATGGTGTGAGCACTGTGTACACACACTGCACCCAGTTTTAGTTTTCCACATATTTCATACTAGACACGCATAAAGACGGACGAACATGACAGCTCTCCAAAAATAATTTTTTCCCAAAGATGCTTTCTGTCCTTTTAGTTAGTTCTTATCACGCTGATGTATGTTCTAGTGTTCTGTATCTTTTATATGTCCAATGTGTGTACCTGTAGTAGTGCAGCAGCCAGGTAGAAGGTAATGAAAACGGGTGTCAGGGTGGTGTGCCCCCCCCTCAGGGAGTTGATGGTGTAGAGGAAGACCAGGTGACCCGGGGCAACCAGTAGGAAGAGCACACGGGCCGAACGAGAGTTTACAGCTAGAAGAGAAAGAGAACATAGTATTAAACCAGTCTTTTTTAGGACAGACGCTGGCACTAAATGCAGAACGCGGGGTGGACCAAATCCCAATGAAACACCGTCATGGAAAGATCTGTGTTCATGAGATAAAACAAAGAGCGAAACAGTGGAACATTCCACTGCCGCCCGTCAACTTACAGGAGCCGAAGAAGGAGGTGCAGGGTGTGGGGCACTTCCTGGGGACGGGGTTTGGATCCCCCATGGGTAGACCGTTCATGTGCAGATAGGTGGAGATTCGACTGGCCTGAACCGCGACCAGGTTACCACCCACACCTGACGCACACACACACAAGCAGAGTGGAAAAGCCAGATAAAATAACAGATATTGATTGATCAAGTTCCAGTTCTGCTGTTTTAAATCTCTTGATTATGACTTCTCAGTTCTCAAGTCTAAAAACCTGGCATTACGGAGATAGGAGGTTTTTAACCCAGTGAGAGCAATATGCTACCTCCATCTGTCAGTTTTAAAGGATCACCACTTTGCACGTTCGTTTGCTCACATTTGACACATCCATCTGTCATTAAACCAGGCGGAGGTGGTGGCTTCAACTTCAAATACACACTTCAGCGCAAGAACAGATTTTTCTATATTTGTTCTCCACCTACGTGGATGAAGCATCCATCTCGCCACCACTTAGTAACCTATTAGCTGTTTACCTACACCATTCACTCATCCCTTTCTTTCTGTATCTTATTTCCCCAAAGCAAGCATTAAAGTTTTCATCCTTTAGGTTTTATGACTGCTCACCGTTGATGACCGGGGTGAAGACAGCCATGCCAGCAAAGTTTGGGTTGGTGACAGTCTTGTCGAGGATCAGACCACCAACACTAAAAGACAGACGAGAGGGATTAACTGAAGTGCTGTGTGACCTGCCATCATTACATAGAAGATACATGAAGACCCATCACGAAACTGACCCTTCCTAAATCCCGCCCCCTTTTTGCACTGTGCTCCAATAGCAGTTGAGCTGGCGGAACGTCAGGCAACCTTCTCCTTTCTGTACTTAGACATGCTATATGCTAGGCTTATCTATGTTGAAAAGACAGCCATATTTTCAAACATGGTTAGCTAAATTAAGTTAGCTACTGTTAGTAAAAGGTTAGCTAACTAACTAGATAGCTAACAACTGATATAGATTAGCTAGCTACTTAGCCATAATTTGAATATTTGAATCTATTTCTAATAACCTGAAGGAAGAAAAGTTCCTACTTTTTAAGTTAAATAAGCTATTTGAGAAACGTCTTGGATTAGATGGAAAATGTATTGACGCAAAGCTGAAAACTGTTTTTCTGAGCTCAGGAAAAGTAGATTTTTAAGAGTTACATGGTTCTCACAGGACAGCCACGCTACAAACATATGATGATATGATGCACTGCTGTAGATTAAACTACCCAACAGTATATAAAAAACATGTATATTATATATATGTACAGCAGTAAAATGCAACCTACACATTAATGTAGCAGTAATATTAATCTAAAAACATCCAATATAATAGTATCACACTGAGGGAGCATTCTACTGCACTATGACTTTTGATTCTTTGAGTACATTTTGCTGATAATACTTACATAATTAAGATTTTGAATTCAGGACCTTTACTTTTAATAGTATCTTGTAGCAGTAGTAACTTGTATTAATACTTACTACTACTGATATGAAGATTTTCTTGACTTTTAGTATACTGTCTGATTTCAGTAGTAGAAAATTACATAAATGCAAAAAGTAAACTTGTAAATAATTGTACATGATAACTACAGTCTTTAAAAGAATAGTTTGTTATAATATCTAATTGTTATATTTAAAAAAACTCTACCTGCTGATGGCCATGGCGATGATGACCGGCTCCCAGCCGGAGTAGAGAAGCTCTCTGGTGGAGGGGATCCTCCTGGCTATCAGCACCCATAGGGGACACAACGCCACAAACACCGCACACACCAGCGGGTTGGCGTAGTCATTGAACTCTGTATGCGAGGAAGAGAAGGTGGATTCAAACACCAAGCATGTGCTGATGGACAATAATTCTGTTATGCAGAGACAAGGTTTCTACAGGTTTCAGCATGTTAAATTTAACACTTTTATTGAATGCAATGAGCCATTTTATGTCACAACAGGCCAAAAAAGTATGAAAGATATCAAGGAAAATTGTGTTTGTTAAGAATAATCACCAGCACTAAGTGAAAACATGAATAAATGGAATGGAGATGATTGTCTGCTAAACCCAATAAGACACATTTAAGTATTGTAAATATTGTCTAATTACTTGTTTATAATAACTAATAATAATTACTATGTTCTGTAGCACTAGTTAAGCCATAATAATAGAATCAGTCACTTTAAACAGCTGAATTCAACCTGTAACTGAATAAAATGAAGCTCTAAATGTTGCATCTCCTCTCACATTCAAAGTTATCGGTTTGAATATTCTTATCCTATTTTATTTAAGTGAACTGTTCCTTAATCCAGCAAATTGAGGGATTTTGGCCTCAAATCACGACATATACTGGGGTTAAATGAAATAAGATTGGTGTGTTTAGATTATGGGATGATGTTGACGCTTTTTAACAAATGTTTGTGTGATCCAGATGTCACATTGTATTATTGTACTAACAATTGTACACATTTCTAATAATCATTTTTATGGTAATTAAAGCAGCTTAGACCAAAAGAAAAAATGCAATCCAAATCACTTTAAACAAAGATCATAATCATAGTGCTTCAAATGGCATAAAGTCATATTAAAGTCCAACAGGTCAAACAACAAAAAAACAAAAGCTGAGTTTGACATTTAACCAATAAACTGTAGCAACTCTGAGCTTGTGAGGACTCATTTTGGACTGACAGTAAATTCCAGCTGTTACCTCTAGGGTGCAGTGTTACCACTAAGGTGACTCCACAGGAGACAACCACCACAAACACAACATTTAAGCAGACTGACCACTTGCGCACACAAGACCCAGACACCGGCTGCGTTTTTTTGAGCCAATATAACCCAAATAGGCTCAATGTAGTACCTGACTGTGGCATTCAAAGTGAATAAGACAGTAAGGACTCCCAGACGACGGGAGGAGCTGTGGGATTACTCCACGCTGCTCCTGTGTGTGTCAGTGTTTGCCTGTCTGTGGAAACGATGGCTGTGTCAGTGGGGATCACAGAGCCAAATAGCTGTGGAGTTTCTCGCCCCTAAAACACAGCGAGGTTAGGTTAGGTTAGGTGTGGGCGGCTTTCATCCTTATTTACCGCGCAGCCAGACGCAGAGTCACATTTCACACGTTTCTGCACAGGCTGCTCCCTTTTAGGATAACATCTTCAAAGGCTTTGGAAGCCGTATCATAAACGTAGCAACTGTGATGAAACANNGATAGTTGTGTGTGTATTGGATATTTTTTCCTTTTTCCTGCCATGAATGCACAGGATATTTGTATCTGACATCTGAATAAAGCTGTAAAATAGTTTGCACTAATTTGCTTTAAAGTAATATATTATGTTTCTGCATCCCGTCTCCTCCGTATATTTCTTGCCCATGTTCAACTCAGCAAAGCCTGCACTGTATGCAATTAGCAAACGAGTGAAAACGACCCTATAAAATAACAAAAATGTCCTCCCTTCACCTGCAGCTGAATGATCTGTGAAGGCCAAAGACTTCACAAAAATTGTCCGACACTGATGTGAGCACAAAAAGCACCAGATACTAAATGTATCAGGTTTAATCTGCAACCTGTGTTTGTGTTTATTACCTAGTTCCTTGTACAGTCCTGTTGAGACGCCTGCCAGCAGGGACAGGGTGATCAGGTCTCCCAGGCTAGCAGCGATGGGCGTGGCCACATTGTCCGGGTTGATGCCGACTTTCCTGGACGCGATGATCACGCCGATCATGATGAGCCCTGTGGGGGTTTTAGGTCGGAGATGTCACAATGTGGAACAACACGCACAGCTGGATAGTGTTTACATGTGATGTTCTATGTAATAATAATAATAATAATGCTGATGTTCAGTGTAAGCATCTATTGTCAGGGTTCTGGGGTCTTATTGGATGTTAACTTCAAAACAAGTGAATGGAGCAAAAACACAGGGAACATGTTGACTTTAAGGGTGCAGCCAGAGTGTTTTCCAGGAGGATGGATTGGGATTCTTTTGTTTTGAAGCTGATAAAAACAAAACCTGAAGGTTAAAAACATAAAGTGAGAAGATCTGAAGCACATACATTTTATGTTCCCTCACATCAAAAACATCCTGTTTTCTACAGCACAGTGTTTACTGCAGGTTACAGTAAACGGGGTTCTCTCTTGTAAGGACAGTTTAAGATATGCCTTCTCTCATCGACAGGGTGCCTTGGTGTTTGTAAATTCAATGATCTTCTCACATAGGTCCTACGGTTGGACTACCTAGTCCCAGGCCAACCAGTTAAATCCATTGAGTGTCTTTACAATCAGGCCTTGAAAATCTCAGACAAAAAGCAAATAAGGTACCATCATTGCCTCATTTTAGGTAAATGCGAGATCTTAAGCTTTGCAAATTGTATTGATTTTAATTACGTAAAGCTTGTTTTAAATGTTTAAATGGACTTGCCCCTCAGCCTCTCTGCAAATACATCATGAGCCTGCAGAGCTGCAGCACATCCACCACATTGTAAAGTTCCGTTCTGTAAAACATCTTTGGCCCAGTCAGAGAACAAAGTCCTGGAACTTGTTTGATCACTTTTATACTAACTTTATTAACTACATTTTTAAGGGTAATGTTGTTAATTCAGCAAAAACCTGTACTCATGAATAGTTTTGAAATAAGACATCTTCAATAATTGTTTTGCTGTGTTCTTTTTTTTTTACCTTCCTGTTTTAACCTCTTATTTTCATAAAAGCCCTTCTAAGGACAGGTGTAGCAAATTAGCTATAAACACTATGATACTTACATCGGACAGCTGTTTTCAGTCTGTCTATGTTTACTGTATCTGTCCATAACAAATAAACCATAAATAAAATAAATACATTTAGGAGGATCTATCGGCAGAAAGAATATAATATTCACAGCTATGTAAGATCACCTAAGAATAAGAGATTTTGTGTTTTTATCTACACCATGTTTCTACAGTAGCCCAGGATGGACAAACCAAACACTGGCTCTACATAGGGCCTTTTGCATTTTTCTTTACTTTGTGTTTTGTACTAATAATACAATGTTAGCTTGCTAACCTGCTAAACTATGATGGTGGGCCTAAACATTAACATGTTAGCTTTGTCAGTGTGAGCATGTTAGCATGCTGGCATTAGCATTTAGCTCAAAGCAAGTAGAATGACAGAGCTGCTAGCATAGCTATATTGTCTTTTAACTATTTTTTTTACATTGAACATAAAACACTGAAATGAATGAACCGCTGTGTTTGTGGCTACAAGTAAATGTACATAATTAATTGTACTTAGCAGTAATGTTTAACAATTTGACTGTCATATAGCTAGCTGAATGCACTTAAGCACCTAGCTGTACAACTAAACAGTTCAGTCTTTAGTGCTGGCACCGAGAGTGAAACGTAACCCAGACATGCGCGATGAGTAGCTGCTTGAATATCCCTCACATCCGGTGTGCTGGCCATACAGTACCTAGCAGCAGCGAGGCAATGAAGGCCGTAGCCACACTGGAGGCACACAGCAGCACTGCGTGGCCCAGCCTGAATTGTCCCTCTGGGATCCAGCCGAAGATGACAGCAGCTATGGAGGCCAGGAACCCCACCACGGTGGCCTGGACCTGAACACACACACATGCACATTAAAATGGTTCCTATGGATTACTGTGAACATGTGAACTATCGTTACATGTCAGCAGCTTTTAGAGTCAGCACACTGTGGAGGTATACGTAACATATAGTGTACAGTATAGTACAGTGTGACAGTCGACACAAAGTTAAGTGAGTAGATGAATTTCTCTCTGAATGGAGCCCCATTATGACCCACAGTGATCCTATATAGGAGGTTGTGTCAACACCCGGCCAGCACTGGTTTAAAGTGTTTCAGGAACTATGGACTCACCAAATATTACATAACTATGAGCCCACTTCAAATGGCAGACCCTCAGGAGTTCATTTTGGGAAATGAAATACTGGAAAAGGATCTATGTCCAGTTCGGTAGAGGCGGTGGGACTTTATGTCCTTGTTTATGTACAGTAACGCTGGTAATTTACAACTAGTGGAATGGCTGTTATACTAGCTCCTGCAGTGTCCTGCCAATTCTACTCCCTGTCCAATCTGCTTTTTTTTTTTTTTCACAAGTTATTTTCAGACTGAGATCTCCGTGACATCTCCTGCTGCACCTGTCGGGGCGGGGCAAATTACACCTTCATCACTCTGTAGGTGCGGTCGGATCAGAAACACAATGTGTAGGATTATTGTGTAGCAGGAGCTTTAATCGTGTGCTTTCATTCACACTGTGTGTCGCTATGTGATTTCAGTCATGCAATTGCACACGTGTCATTGGTGTGCCCCGTAATGATCAGTCGCTGTGTTTACTGTACACACAGTACAGTTATGTAACCGGATTTTTCCCAGGTTTGGCAGTAATTTGATTCCTGAAATGTCATGAAAATCTGTTTCCTTTATCAGGTTAAAATTTCAACTCTGTTGAAGAAACCGGGTTATTTTTCATGTGATACATTACTCAGGTTTTTAAAGTATGACAGAATGAAAAGAAACATTACTAGTGGCTGCGCGTTTGTATTCAGATAAATCAATGCAAAGTTGCACTTAAAATGACCGTCTTCTCTCTGCGGCGTCAGTCAAAATTAGAATATTTAGAAAAAGGGATTCATTTGCTGTAGTGGAGAAATCTGATTACCGACTGACTGCATGTAAATCGAGTTTTAGAGCAATCTGACCACTGAACTGAACGGCACATTAACTTATTATCTGATTTCGTGCCTTAACCGGATTTCTCCCTGTAACCTGGTTTGTTAAGTGGATGTAAGCGAGGTCAGTCCACTTCATCGTCCTCTACAGATGTGTTTCATTTACCTGGATGAGGGCCAAGTTCCCCATGATCATCTTCCACATGTCCTTGGCTGTGTCCATCTGACCAATATTAGCCTGAAAGAGAGACAAGAGCACACAAAATCAACACATTATCATCTGTGTGTCTGTGTGTATGTGTGTGTGGGTGTACAGTGCGTGTACATGCTGTTGCCTCTTGGTCCCATCAGAACAATCAGATGTCAGTTCTCTGGACAAAGACACTCTGATCTGATCCCCCACCCTGCGGCCGACTCCACTTATCTCATCTCCACTCTTTCACACACACACACACGCACCTACACACACACACTGATGGTCTCAAGTGTCAAGTGGCTGTGGCTACAGTGGGCTACTGTGTGTCCAGAGCAATGATCCTAATGCTCATCCACAGTGAGAGGACACAAACAGAGGGTCTCCTCTTCCTTTTCCCCCTCTAACATTTGCATATGCAGAGGGAAGGGAAACATCTGGACACATCCAAACACATACAAGTCTGCCTGTGAGAATATCCGCTTCATGTTTTGGTTAATAAAACAGTGTAAGAAATAATACAGATGTGAGGTGTGTCTGAGTTCATATGAATATGTACACATGTTCTTTAATGGAGTTTTAAATGTTTGGAGAATGATTCCAGTTTATTCTTTTCTCTTATTTCCGTAGTGTTTGTACTCACTAATTTGAGATATGGGAACACAGCAACAAGCAGTCAGACAGGTTGTAAACAAGCTAACAGTATAGCCAGATTATCCATTTATTTGGAGAGAAAACTGCACTCAAAATGTTGCTAAAACTGTGTGCATAATAAAGACGTAGAAGTAGATCAGGTCAGCGTTGCAGAGAGTCATTCTGGAAACAGTTTGGGTAACAAGTTTATAATACCTTTCTCTTCACAATATATTTGGCTAACCTGGATGTGTGACTGCTCCTGACTTTTTGAGGGACGCCACTATGTCAGCAATTCACAAAATTATAGGTAACGTAACAAAAAATAAATATGACCCAAGTTATAATAAATCAGATTGTATCCCTGCGGCCTCTATGCTAACAGCTATCCGATAAGCTTGTTTAAAATTAATGTATTCTGGTATTGAGTAAATAAATCCTATTTCCTATAAAAATAAAGTTAGTTCAGTTGTACCTGCGTTAATAAATATGTTTGATATTAACATTAAATCAAATGCAAAAGACCACCCAGTTTATCAGCTTTTTAGCCTCTTTGAGGTCATTGTTTTGGTTGTACAGCTGTACATCAACTATATAAAATATCCAGCAGATAAAGACCAAGACATTTTTATCACACATTGTTTGAGAACGAGAGAGTGAACAGGGAAAGGGGTGAGTGAATACTGGACTTAATTGGTCTGACAGCTAGAAACACATCTCAAAGGAAATGCTTATGTTTGTTATAGCTGCATATCTGTTAGCTTGTATTGATATTTGAGCTTTAATAAATAAAATGTTGACTTTTATACACTGAAACTTTAAATAAATCCTTTAACTGACTTGTATTTGATTCTTTTTCCAAAAAGCATCCAAAATTGCAAATGCAATTCATACAAAACATATAAAAAGGATTAGAAACAATATGTTGTGTAGTTAAAAAGAGACTGGAACAGGAGTTTCTGAAATGCTCAAACAGCCTGTAAATCAATCCCATCATGACAACTGATGAAGATGTTAAATGTTAAAAATATTCTTAAAATATAAGGCTCCAAAGGTTACAGAACTGATTAATAATGGAAAGCCACAGTGAGACGGTCTCAATGACTGGGTGTTAATTTTTTTCTGTGTGTGTGTGTGTGCTTTTCCCTCCCTCTCAAATTTCTCATAATCTAGCACCGCCCCTACTTGACGAACATATCTGGCAGCCTGACAGGAAGACCTCACCAGCCCGACTGACAAGACGATCATGTGTGCATGACCGTACGTCATTATAACTTGTGCATCAGCCAGATACACAGCATTACAGCCACGCCCATCAGCGCCATGTGAACCTGTGCTCGGATCCCTCCTGCTATGCTGGGCAAGCTGTGGCTGAATGCCACACATACTACTAAGAAGGTTTGAGGCAGAAAGATAAGAGAAAGCCAAACATCTGTGCAGAGCATGGTTGCCTTCGGACAGAACTTGACAGAACTAAGCAGCCTTAGCTTTATACAGTGAGAGTTGAAAAGTTTTTTGCAACTCACAGCAAAACTGCGTACACAGATGAAGCTTAGACATTCGCAGTGGCATCGGCTGGTGTTATGTGATGATATGTGATGATGATGCCAAGTCCTCGGCTTTGGTTGTGCGTGTGTGGGCGGCTGGATTAGTGGTGTTTGGATCATCACAGAGATGGAGCACGGTTAATGTTGTGAAAGTGATTCACGGGTGACATAAGATGCATGAGAGGCTCAAATACCCAGCATTTCAAAAGCACCACTACATTTAATACTGTTCATTTTCAACTCGTTAACTGTGCGGAAAATCCGTTACAAGGTTGGAAGCCGAACGTATGTGTTGAAACATCTAATACACACAAAATGAAGATAAAGTAGGCTTTGTAGTGGTTGTAATCTCTGATACCAGTGTGGTCAATGTTGTGGTTTTTTACAACTTGGAAACAGTTGCAACGCAGGCACTGCCAAGTTCCAGTAATCCACAAAATATCATTATCCAAATACGTACAATCAATTAGGCTCAATAACATGAGAAGGGATCAGATGAGAACAAAGAAAACAGCTGCTTGTTCAGCTAAACAATGATGCAAATGTGTAAACACAAGCCTCATTTCAGTGAAACATTCAAAGACAAAGGGGTCAAAAAGACCAAAGGAAAAAAATGCAAAAAGGAAACACGGTCATGTGAAATGAAAACTCCTACAGCCAGCCAGTACGAGGGATTACATTATTTTTTCAGTAATAAGCGCATTAGGAAACTTGCAGTGGTCTTAATCTGCTCATAATTAGCGGCGGCGTGGAAAGAAACGTGGTCCCGCTGGGCCCAGCCAGCAGAGAGCTAACAGTAATGTCTCAGGACAAGCACCAGACTCTGGCCTACTTTGTGACGATGGATGTGAGAATCATTTTGTGCTGAATTGAAAACTATGCAGACTGACAAATGGGACAGAAGTTAAAAATGTTAATATTAAAAAGTCATTCTATCTCTGCTAATTCTTTCTAAATATTTTCACTTTGAGCCACACTTGATTCCAGATTTAATATCTTAGCCAGGCACCAACAACATACACAGGCATCTGACACTGATTCACCATCACATCTGCCATTCTGAATGAATATGGAAATAACATGGAAAGTTAAAAAAATCGGTGGCTCATGAAATATTTAACTTTTCTTAATACTGCCACTATCAGTTCTCCTTCATCCACTGCCATGATTTGGCTTTTATTGTAAAAAGCATGATGGAAATCATATATTTGAGCTACATTTATATATATATTAATATATTATAAGTGCAACTTAATACTGGCAGGCCAAGTTGTGTCATGGCTGACATGCATGTTCTGTTCTGCGAACACGAACGCAAAATTAAATTCTTGGATAAATGTTTGAGTTTAGCTGTACTATTTTTCAGTGTGGTTGATACCATAAGGATTTGGACATTTGGTGCAACTGTAGCTATTTGTAGCTTGTATGGATTAACGTACAATAGAAATTTACCAAGACATATTTTGGAAAACATGTATGTACGGAAGGCTACATTTGCAAAAGCAGATGTCTCCATATTGATTTATTTTCTTAAAGCGCCCCTCCACTCAAAAACCTGTTGTTCTTTTTGTTCCTACAGTTGGATATTGTTAAGAATTTAATGTGTAAATTGTAACTTAGTTTTCTGTAAAAAACATATCAGACACATTCTTGTGCATTATTCGTCTTAATACATGTCTGGAGGGGATCTTTAAATCTTGTTTTTTTTTTCCTTGCTGGAATATCAATAAAACTGATGTTGTTTATTTGATTTATTCATTGTAAGAATGGCTTTTTTTTGCAAATGAACCCTTCATCTTGTTTCAAAACTGACAAAAAAAATTCTAAATGTCTTCTGAGAATAGATTATTTTTGTATTGTGACAGAGTGGAGCTCACCATGCTGGGTGGGCTATGCTAATCACCTTCATCACGTTTACCACCATCTAGTGGAAAGAATGTTAGGATTGGTGTGCTTAAGAGAAATACTGGGTTAATTCTCTATCCCTTCATAACTGTAAGGTGTGCTGCTGACCTCTGGTTAGCAATGCCGCTAGGTCATGGACCCCTCAGACTATACAATGGACAATGTTAGCTCAGAGAGCGGCATTATAGCCCAGAGTCACCTACAATAGAAAGCTTTAGCATCAAATGCTACTTGTCGAAAACTGTTTAAAATGTGAATTTGGATAGACGTCAGGGTAGCTAGCTATAATTATGCAGTATAATACATATTTTATTTTTTAAAAAGCCAATTAAAGACCTGAAAGCTGCTCTTCTTTCTAAGATAAGCTTACAAAAAAATCTAAATGTGGTTAAATCAAACGCAGTAAGATTCTCACTAGAACATATACTGTAACATGAATGTGAGGCTGTAAGCCAAAAAAGCAGCGGCCTAGTCAACATAATGTTAGTTTATTCTCTACTTTATATAGTGTCTTGTCAGCTAACAATATGGCCTTTGGTTTGACTAAACCAGCAAATGAGCCAACAAGCTAACAATTGTAGTCACTAGTTAAAATGAATACATGCAACATACATTTTGTTCAAATATTTTTCTGGCTACTCAATGGATGTTGAAAAGTTTGGAAATTTTTAGTTCAGCTATAAAGAGCAACCTGTGTGTTCAGGTGAATGGGCTAGGCAAGGTCAGTGAAATTGTTAAAAAACAAAGAATGGGTCAGGAATGTTGCTATCAGTTTGTGTGAAACCCGGGTCTGTTTGGCAACGTGACCTCTGACTCCGAGAACAATCAGCTTTAATGGGTCTGACGGGGGTTGCCAAGCAATGTCACAGATTGGGTAAGTTTTGAGGGGGAAACACTTTACACAACCACAATCTACTGAAACAATTTTCTGGGCTAACATTAAGTGTTATACAAAGACAATGAATCCAAAATCTCTAAAGCCTTACAGAAAAGATTTTTTTAACTACTGAATAATGGAATAAAATACAACATATGGCTCTTCTGGTTGGACATACTGTAAATTTGGTTACTAGATACCTCACCGACACAGACTCAAACACAAACACACTTGTTCCTTACCGCTGTGGAAAGTCTTGAGGCCAGCGTCATCTCCAGGTTGCCTTTGAGCCCCAGCAGTGCTGGAACCAGGATGAACACCTCTGACACCTCCGTAAACACCGTCCAGTGCTGAAACGACCACCATGTAATATCAGTAACACAACATCAACATAATGAACTCAATGCTGTATTGAAACAGGGCATATCCGAATTACAGAAACACGGTACAGTGTCACCTACGTAGAATTTATCCTTAGTTGGGAGCCGAGTGTCTCTGTGACCTTGTTCTTTAATATTGATTCAGTGGTGAAACCAGAGCCAAGCTCTCCTGTACCAGAACAAGGTCACTGGGACTTCAGGCTGACACGACTGCAGACTGGGCTGCTTCATATCATACTAGCATCAAAATGGTACAAATTGGTAAGTTATGATAATAAGGTAAAATGTGACAAAACAGCATTATAATGAAGTACTGTAGTGCTGCAGAGATGCCCTGGTGTACAAAGTTTGTTCTCCAGATTTGAAAAAAAAAGTTTTAGGTACAGACCTAAACATCATCATTATAATTTTAATAGTTATTTTTTCTGTAATGCAAAAATGATCATTCCCACACTAATCATAATTCATATCCCAATCTCCGTCAAAATCATTGCAATAAGATGTTTTAACCATATTGTGCACCCCTAATAATGATGTTATTACTTTAGCAAACACTCAATCATTTCTGTCAATACACATTGGCAGTGCACACTAATGCAAAACTTTATATCTTCACAATTACAACTTAAATTTGCATGGAATTCAAAAATCAACTCAGATCATCTTCTCTGTTGGGGAACCCTTTCATGTAAATATAAAGTAATTTTGCTGATTTTGCACTCCAATTTTTTATTCATTGTTTTTGAAGTATATGATATAATGGTCGGTGTTTGGGAAATGTCAGTAGGACAGCTGTTTGG